AGGGTATTCAACATGCATTTAATTACATTACGTCTTAAAATTCCATTTTAAATAGGTACATTCTGCAGATTTATGCACATTAAAACATGCCACCTATTCTCACGGGATCAGGCCTGATCAACAGCCGCTCAAGATCAGAAATCAGTGATTTGTACTTTTCACTGATGGCCAAAGAGGGACGTGACACTTAGTGATCTTTGATTTTCCGCTGTTATCGAGGATAATCTTAGACTGTGCAGACGTACCAGTTATTGCTCAATGATGATGATGATGGAAGTTTTAAATTAATTGTATGGCTGCTGTTTTTCTAAAAAGTATGCCACTCATATTATTGCCCATATGTTTCTCCTCATTGTCACATTATTCCTAATTAGTGTCCTACCTCTGCAATTATGAACTAAAAACAAGTTACTGATGTAGTGACAAAAAATGAAAAAAGACAATCCAAAAATGAATAATGAGAAATAACAAAAATGTAAAATGAGAAGTGCAGGCGGTCCCCAGGTTAGGAGTGACACCAATTCCATAAGTCTGTCTTTCAGTCAAATTTGTAGCTAAGTCGGAAAAAACAATAATACAGTTCTCAATAATAAAAATGATGATGATCATAATAATATAAGTATTATTACTATTATTATTATTACTAAAAGTAACTACATATAGTACTGTACTGTACCTTGAGCCGATAAACCACTGAAGCCGTGCAAAGTGGTTCTGCATTTGTTATTACGAAGCATTGTATTTAACCTGAATTTTGAAAGCAATAGGGTTTATGGCTGTCTGTTCGTAAGTATGAGTTGTCCATCAGTTGGACGTTCTTAACCCACGGACTAACTGTATGACGAAAACAGATGTTGCATATACCACTAACTTCAGGGCATTTTGGTTTGATCTGTATAAAAAACATGAGGGTCAAAGGTAACTAGTGCAAACCAAGTTGCCCAACTCGTTGAATAAGCAGAATAACGTACAAACTCATAATCACACATATATAGGCTTCATTATGCCATATAGGTCAGTACTACAGTTAAGAATAAAATCTGTAACCTAGAAAGCATTAGAATTGCTTTATTGTAAAATATGGGGAGCATGAAAGATACATTATTAGCCAACAGGGAACATCAGAGAGCACAGGGGTCAAGACGAAGCGCAGTTAGTCCTCCAGCGTGAAAATCCGAAAGCACCCAGAGCTAAAGCTAGCCAACAGGGAACATCGGAAAGCAACGATAATCCACAGGGGGCAGGAGAGAGCATAGCTGACCCACCGGAGGTGCCTCGTGGGGGGTGTGAAAGATTAGAGTTAGCTCACGCTGTGTGTGTGAGAACATGGCTAGCCCTTGGGGATGTGATAAACCAGAGTTACCTCGCAGGAGGCTGTAGGAAGGGCATGCCACACTGACGCGTATTAAGAACCAGCGCCACACTGACGCGTATTAAGAACCAGCGCCACACTGACGCGTATTAAGAACCAGTGCCACACTGACGCGTATTAAGAACCAGTGCCACACTGACGCGTATTAAGAACCAGTGCCACACTGACGCGTATTAAGAATCAGCGCCACACTGACGCGTCTTTAGAACCAGCACCACACGTTCTCTCAGGGTTCAAGACACAGAAATGGGAAAGGCCGGGGAAAGGCGAAAAGAACAGAGGATGAGAAAAGAAAGGAAGACAATTAAAGTTTCTTCTTCTCATTGACTGCAGACGGCCCTTATCGGACTCAGCAATACCTTCATCAGAATACTAAAGCCGGCCGCATCGCACACATAACGCTGACGTCTAACCTGAGGATCAGGTGAGACGGAGGCGTCAACCACGAAGCAGCCCACTCTTCATCATCCCTGCTGCCATTACTCACTGCCACGTCACCGTCCCTCCTGCCGCTTATCTGAGATGTTCCGCTTAATTGGCTTCAATCCCGCGCTTCTCCCACCTGCTTTGGGGTGGGGTGGGGGGGAGGTGAGGGGGTGTTCATCAAAGAAGTGGTCCTGATGTCATGCTAGAGCTCCCTGAAGAAATAAACCATGCCAAGAACCACCCCCGTGCAGCCAAGGGTATCTACCCTCTACCCATCATCGGAGGCTTCCCTCCCGAATGGGCCTCTGGCCGCCTCTTCATGGGGGGGGTGGTGTTGGGGGGTGCACGCGGCTCCTGACCTTCTGTGTCATCGTACTCACAGGCTTATCTGAGTTCCCTTAGAGTTCAGACAACCAAAGGAATCCTCCTGGCATTCACTGTAATTCAGTACTGTGCAAAAGTTTTAGTCAGCCAAAGAAAATAATGATGTTTAATCGATGATCATGTTGGTGTAAAACGATGATATTATGCCTCTCAAAGTGTGTCAGCTTAGCCATTTCAAAACCTCTCCTAAAATCACTCCATTATTTGCAGCAACCATGCAGGACACCAATGTGTTTTTTGACTCCACCCCCAACACCCCATGCTTGGCTAATGAAGACCCCATCCAGTCATTTAACTAATTAAGGTAACGAGAGACCTGATGGGGCAATCGAGTGGAATGGCTGGGTGCCCGTGAGATGGGGTTCATCTAGCAGGATATCAGTGACTTTTTGGAGAACAGAAGAAATTCTTGTTAATTAATAGTAACATGATAACAAAATAACTACCGTATGTTGTAATATTAAATTATGTATTTTTTTCTGAGCAAATATACATTTACTGCCAAGATAAACATTTTGGTAGCACTTGATGGGCACAGATGCTTAGTAATAACTGAGTTAATACTGAAGTACAAATTATGAAGAAATCATGAACAAATATAGTAGCTACTTGATAAGCTGTGTCACGATTCATTAATGATGAACACATATGAGATCAGTATTTAACTTGTATTATTCATTACTTGTTCCTTCAGTAGTTCACAAAGGTTTACAGGGTTAACAAATGTAGTAACAAATATAGTAACTACTTGTATAGTAAAACATGCTTCACAATTCATTAATGATTAATACATACTGTAAGTAGAAGTATAATACTATATTTGTGTCTCATCAAGTAAAGTGTTATCAACGTTTTCTTTGACTACCTAAGACTTTTGCACGATACTGTATTCAAGCTATAATTTTTATCAGTGATTTTGAACTTGCAACAAAATCTCGACCCTGTGACTGTCAATCTTTGTGTCATTGTCAGGGATGTGAGACGCAGAAAACACCATAAACTTCTGAGCATGGAGCTGACCTCTTTCATTCCCTCTCAGAAATCATTCTTTTCCACACGGGTCTACGTGCAGTAGGTTCCCATAAATACATTTTTGTTCACAGTTTCATAGCCAGACTTTTATGAGTATATGAACACTTATTCCACGATACACACTAATGCAACTACTACACAGTGTAGCCCAATTGATCACTGTCACTGTAACTGAGATTGGGATTAAGTGATCCAATTAAAGAGGGTAACTAACAACGACGCCAAGAAGAGTGAAAACCTTTTCGAAAACAGCCAGTTATCTTCCTCCGCAGAGGTCTCGCGCGAGGTGAAGCCTTTAGCCGCTCATTAATAAAGAATCATCATCGCCGCGCCTATCTAGGCTGACAGTGCTCGTAATTTCCATCCGCAAAGTGTCAGCCGCGTGAAAAATGGATGGAATCCGAAAGAGCTGAAGGGTAAGTCCTCGCCGGGGCTGCCCACATCGCTGTCGAAAATGCACGTCTGCTCCCACGATCGCTTCAGCCACCGGTGCGTGTTGGTGGTCACCCCACTTAAATATGCTAATGTTACAAATTAGCATGGCGGGAGCTCAGCATCAGCAGGCCGATGAAGCGTATATAATACGCTGCCATTTCCCACACAATAAACACGTTTTTCTTATCTGGCAGATGATTCTATCCTGAGCCTCTTAGAAACTTGGCACAATGTATCAGTATTAAATACAGTGCACTGACGTTACATATATAGTTTCATAGTTTATAGTTAATGCTTTATTATTATGTGTCAGACATAAGTCAGCTTGCTTATGCTTCTTTTTAGTAGATATAGTTATTACACTGCTTGAGCGTGAAATAGAGCTGAACACAGAAATATGACATTAGAGGTAGAATTTCATACTAAATTTAGGGCTGGTCCTGTGTTCACCACAATGCATATTTTGTTTCTGGTTTTACTAAAACAATAAAATAGAAATTTTCTTCTCTCCAGCACAGCACAAATGTATCAGTGGAAGGGCTGAATCTTATAATCAGTGGGCCGGCGCTGCTCACAGAGCAATTTCCTTCAAATACATATGAAATCATCTGCTGATCATCTGGTGAGTAGATGAGACTCGGCGCTTTGGATGAGAAGCGGCTCTCTGGCTGCCGTGAGGCTCCGCGTCGAGGAAGGCGACTTTCGGAGGACCCCATGCCGGAGTATATTTAAAACACACGCCGAAACGGTCCGGAACGGCGCTGAGCACTCCCCGGCTGTCTGTGAATTACTGCCATGTGAACGGCGGGTAATCGAAGCAGCCAGAAGAGCAGAGGCTGATGGGAGTCCATGTGGCGTGCAGGGTGTGTGTCGAGCGATGTCACTCGGCAAGGCCTCGTAGATCACATCTGCCTTCCCTCTGGCTTCAGCCCATTCATTCAACACTCTGTTACGCTTCTCACTATATATTATCTTAATACTGGAAGTTCAGCTTCAAACAAATCATCCCCAAACTAAGAGTTGTTATGCTACTTGGATTCTTTTTTTTTTAATCCAATCATTTTTCTTTATGACATCCTTTGGTACTGCGAATGAAAATCTTGAAGGGCAGATTTTTGGGGGAGACAGGAAATGTGCAAAGCAGCTGTGTGTGTCAAAGGCAATATGGGAAAAAAAAACATCCCCTGGTGTGTTTATATAGTGTTTATGTTTATCAGCTGTCTGACATCCAGGCTATTTGGGACAGAGACGCTGTTTTCAAGGCTTTATATTCAAATGATGATGCCACAGGAGGCTGGATTTCTCCGGAAGCCATGCCTGAGCACGTCAGGAGGACGGCTGGAGGACCTACCGACTGGACAGGCACCTTCAGACGCCACCAGAACCTCCGTCTGCAGCTTGCAGGCGTCCTTCCTCAGGTAGCACTCGTTCTGGTAGTTCTCGTTGTTGGAGCCGCACACGGGGACATAGTCGTTGTTGCACTGGGAGGGGGGACAGGAGGAAACGAGGAGGGGGGGTCAGCCCGGTTTACCGTGGTAGATGCAGAGATGAGTAGCATTTCCCATGCAGGGAAGAGATAGGGTGAGAGAATCGATCATGACCCACAGATCTTGCCTAGGCAGGGAGGGTGGCCTTCCACCACAATATTAATCACACGTCCCTCACGGGAAGCATGCAGACGTGAAATTACTAATGTGAGTTTAGAGAGGGGAGTGCAGCGCGAAGGACGAGAATCAATCAGACCCAAAGATGCTCCAGATCATTCCAACGCCGTTGGCATTGTGCTGTGTCGAAACAAAAAGGCCCCCAAACCCCCCACAGTGCAGACACACACACAGCTGTCAGGCCACCTCAGACAGATGTCCTTCAACGCGCTAATGGCCATCAGCAAGGTGCAGACACACATTCGACTGGTACTGTCCAAGCTAAAGGGTTAAAGAGACTGATGAATTACCCAGGATACCCTTTCTCTGCTCTAAAACCTCGGAGAAAAAGAGAACCAAGATGGAAATAGTAAGATATAGTAGGTAGAAGGAAAATAATGCCAAGGCCTACTGTGGAAAGTAGAAACCAAAGCTGACAAAGAAGCAAACCTTGGACATAAAACAGACATCTGGTCTTTTAATACTTAGAAAAGGAAATAATAATAATAATAATAATAATAATAATGTCATGGAGACAACCCCAAAATGAAAAGGCAACCTTGAGAAGTTAAAAGAAAACCAGAAAGAGAGTCAGACAGGAGAGGTGGTGGCCCCTTGCTTGTGTCTGCTTTCTTAGACCTACTGTTGAAGTTCAGTCAGGCCTGTGGGAGCCAGCAGGTCATTATTAATGCTGAGAAGTCTACATGGAGATGGATAGGTGTGATAATCTAGCCTCATGATGTAAACTCAGGTCCAGAAATCTTACAGGCTTCACAGAATCTTCAGAGGACATTTAGTCCCAATTTGTAATCGTGGAGCCCATTAATATCCCAAAATGTAACCTCCTCCAGGTGTAATACTGCTAAAGCCAGTACCCACTCCCTGCTAGAGCCCGTACCCACTCCCTGCTGAACACCGTACCCACTCCCTGCTAAAGCCCATACCCACTCCCTGCTAAAGCCCATACCCACTCC